CGGAAACTGCGACCACACAAAAGGCCACACCATCTTGGTCTTCATATCTTCGATAAAGTAGCGTCGTCGATTATATTCCCACTATAATTGTGGCTTGCCTTGAAATGAGCACCCGATCTCTGGCCAACTGGTCTTCGTCGCTGTCTGGTGGAGGAATAACATTTTCACAACCAACCATGCATTCTACAGTTTCGAGTCCAATTTGTAGATCCGATAAGCACCTGACGAGATTAAAATTACAGTCCACACTAGAAAATATAACCTTGTGGATGACAAAGCGTAGGTGAATTTAATGGTACGCTGATGCCTGGCCAAGTGATCGTATGAAAAATTATTCTAAAAAGCACCGATACTGACTAAGTTCTAAGACGATATTTTACCCATTTTCTTTGTTGATGCCCGCAGTTATTTGCCTGACTTCGCCCCCATTCGACACCGTTGGCGTCGTCGTCGTCGACGTCGTCGTTGCCGCCGTCGTAGTTGTCATCATCATCGTCGTTGTCCCATGGGTCGGCATCCAAGCCGTATGCAGTTTCGATGCAGACGACGAAATGGATGGTTGCCATGCCGACAGCGTCTGGCTCATGCTCTCTTCAGCTGCTTGAACAGTTGCGGAAGACTGCGTGGACAGATCAGTTTCCCCGATTAGTCCAAGAGTCTGCTTTTGAGTCGGCTGATCGTTCAGGCCTCTGTCGTGTCCACTTTTGTGGCCGCCGGTGGTGCAGATCTGACCGACTCTGTCGATGTGATGATACCCGCTAAGACAGACAGTGTCCTTGGCTGTACGTCCCTCAGTGCTGTCGGGGTTGCCGACCATACGGTTGCCAACCTGCCGGTCAGCCGTCGTTAGGGCTACGGGTTGTCGACAGTCCGTCTTAGCCGGAAGCATCAAGTCTTTTGGACTGATGCTAAGGCTTATGGTGGTGGAGTCACAAGTTGACCCCTCGTCGAGAGGCTGGAACGTCGGCTGAGGATTCTGCTCGTTCTGCCAACCATTCACTTGATCCGGAATCTTCACATCTCCGTTCCGGTTGCCACAGACGTATCTTCCTTGCCCGGCGCCCTGCGGATCGGTGGTTTCTTCCGATTGAGAAAAAAGACCTTCACCAACTAGCTCAGGCAAATGCAGGCTCCTGGAGGTGGGGAAACCAGGCTTCCCGTTGGCCAGACGGGATACATCCTCGACGCGTTTGACGAACAGGTCTCGGCTCGAATGAGCCATGATCCTCGGCTCTGCCGCGGCCTCGGCATGACCATCAACGAGTGGAGTCTGCTGTTGCTTGAACAGCGCGGTCATCTCCCAGGCAGTCGGCGCTGTACAGTTGTTGCCACGTCCGACTTTACAGACGGACTCGAAAGGGACAGCACTCGAACGATGAATGCGAAGAGTAGACAACACGCCACCCTTGGCCTCGGGCTCTGATTGCCCACGAAACCGGTAGAGCAGCCGAGTGATAAATGACTTGCCTTAGAGGAAAAAGAAAGCAGCCATAGAGAATAGTTAAAGCGAACAAGTAATTATTCATCTTGGCTTGCTTAAACCAAGAAACTACTACTATTACTACTAACATAACCACTATTGTTAATACCTTTTCCACTACTGCTACTGCTACTGCTACTACTACTACTACT